TCATCCACTGATTTATCCACTCACACATTTATCGTCGGGACATTCGGCCCCACAGTCATTTGTGCCCCTCATTTCGCTCCAACAATGTCTGATCTCTCTGCTGCCGTGTGCTTCCTGCCTGCCCTGGCATGTTAGAGACAAAAACTGTCAAGTGCTATGAACAGAGTGAGAAACAGGCGGTCTCCAGGGACAGCCACCAGCACCGCTCAGCTTTCTAGGCCACCTCAGCCTTCCAGTGACAACTTCAGAAGTGTCATTTAGTGATCCTCAGAGAGAAGCTATTTCCACTGAAATACAAGAAGTGACAAGTTCTGCAAGCCGGAAATGTGTGTCCAGTTCCTATGCAGATATTTCATCTTTATGTTTTATAATTATGCGAGATGAAAAGATGATTGTGTCTCCTATGTCTTCATGTCATGCTTCAGAGTTCGAACATATCGTTTAAAAATGACGAGTAAAAGCATGAACACTTCAGTGTCCATATGTTAAAGCTGGTGCTGAATAGTGACATGTGTTGAGGCTAATTCTCTGCCTTGTTCATTCTGAAACGTGTTCAATGCAATTTAATATTTCAACAAATGAACAAGCCATGCTAGCATCATTCTTTTGTTATTATTCACATGACTATTTAAAGGCTCTTTTCCACTGATGCTGCTGTATTTGTCCCATAGATTACATGTTATATAGTATATGTAGAATTATCTATTTAAAGTAACCCATATATAACATGAATTATTATATCGTATTTTTTCTGCAGAAATGATATGAATGTTACTTTAAAGAAATATGGCAACTAGAAGTAATTAAACATTATGCATTTTGGAATAATTAAAAGTTATGATGATATATTCTCTTGAGGTGAGCATTAACTTTAACTGCTAGTCATAAATAAGATGCACAAACCGCCAATTATCCATTTTTAGTTGGCTCTATGATGAACTACTAATGCAAATATTTGCTGGCATGTTTTTACAAGCAGCAGTACAACAGGTAGAGATATAAACTACTTGGGTATTAGAGTGGACATTTGATACAAAGCCTACGAATATGCAAACATTTTGAGGCTTTGTGAATATATCTCATATCCTATAAACTGAGATATGACTAAATGTATTTTAGAGATAAACCTAAGTATAGCAGACAATGCAGTCGCTCGAACAAGGTTTCCATTGTGTGATTCTGTTAAACCATGGGTATGTTTTATAAATACATTTAATATTATTCTTGTTAAACACTCGCAGAAACAATCAAGTCACTCAGCGATGTAGCGTCACATGACAACATTGCGTGACATTAGTCATATGACATATTGTTGGTAAACAAGCAGCGGTCTCCCAGTAAAAGTCCTGTTCTTGTTTGGTGCCCCCCCCCCTGCCCTCCAACAGTCCGACTCGTCCCCTGTTGAACACCGTTGTTATATTTACAGCATGATGCCAGGCAGAACAAGCGCTGATAAAGTAATGTTCCCATGTGTTAATGTCGCAGTATTGAGTCAGCATGGAAAAGTGAGCGTTGTGTGTGTGTGGGTGGAGGAGGTGGTGTGTGTGACGGGGGTCCTGCTGTCTAGGCTGTGATGAGTCAGATCTTGTAGTGTCAGACAGTTTTGCATTCTTTTTTCCTTTAAAGTCTGTGACAAGTGAGGATGCTACTGACTGCCAGGTAGCCCTTGACATCAATCTTGTATGCACATACTGTAAGGCTGGTATTCATATCTATCAGGCAAATGATGCTGTTTTCACTCCTGCAGCCCATCCTGTTGTTTTTCTGTTTTCACATCTGTCTTTTGGCTCTGCATATCAGCCCATTACCAAGCAACCTCTGAGGGATAGCTTTATAATCATACATTATGGATGAATGGTGTGCAGGCTGCAAAAACCGTGTGTCGAACAGTATTGTGCTGCTCTCGATCCGCTTTGATCTCCTCTCCCCCTCAGTGTTTCTACAGGGTGTATGCATGATCTCTCAGGGTTCAGATGGTTTGAACATGCAGGCTTCCTTACCCAGCAGTGAGGGGGTGCAGAGGAAGCGGTTCAACCAGTTCACGGCACACTGTGTTTTTTCCGCCCACCTCACACACATGGCCACAGCTCCCAGTCAGTCTCTAATTAATAGCTGTCACAGCAGCCACAATCGATATCACCTCATTAGCCATGTTTGTGTAACTCTGGCTTCACAAAGGGTCAATACATAATCCCTGAGATACAAATGCATCGGGCAGAATTGAAATGAAAGCCACAAATGATCAATTAGAGAAAAGCCAACCATACATTGTTTCTCCGCAGAGTGTTATTTCCATGCTTTTTGCTGCTGATGCATTTCACCTACGGACAGATCAATAGGAGGTATACTGGCAGCACTTGTGCGGTCAGTCACTGCAGTCGGGTCAGATTTGTAAATAAACCAATCAATACTTTAAGCAGAAATAGCATTGAGTTAATCATTGATGATTGGATGGTTCCTGCAGGGTGTTTGCAAGATGATTTGTTTGTATATTATAGCTGCATATGTCAATCTGACCTATGTTCTTACAGCAAAATTAGCAGTCAGAAAGAGACATGTTTGATTTCTGTATACGTGATAAAATAAGAAATCCCTTTCTTATTATTTAATTCATTTTAGTGACCAAAGCAGTTGAGATAAACCATGCACTTATCAATACCTTTATATTAGCAAATGATCAAATCACTTTACGAAATATGAAAGTAGTAGCTGATGCACCCTAAAAACAAACCCAACCCAAAAACAACAACAATTAATACTAGTTAGAAGTTATTCAGTCTCGAAATGATCGGGATTGTATGGTGGCCGACAGGTGCAAACGGCCCAAAATATTTCCATTAGGAGAAACATGCTGCAGCTTAAAAAACAATGCAAATAAAAAAGACGAAATATGCCCAAACACATGCTAATGAAGGAACATCTTCACCAACTGGACGAAACATGCGCAGCGTTTACTAAAAGTGCTGCATTAAAGGCGAGCATGGAGAGAAACTATTACAGAGTGACATATGGCTGTCTGAAAGCTTGATTTATGTATTATCTAATATGTGGTGTCAAAGACATTACATTGATTGAATATCCATTTACAGGCAGACACAAATGTAATGGATTGCCAATATGGAAGCCAAAAAAAAAAAACGTATTAGGTTGAGTGTATGGGAAAAGAGCAGAGTGACTGTTCTGGTAAACTGCAAAGTTGGGTTAGAACATCTCTGAGGAAGACGCAGCACCAGAGTGTTACAGGAAGGAAAAGTAGAAGGGGGGGGGGAATAGAGAGACTCACGGCAACACAGAATATTGGAAGTGAAAGGGAGCACAGGGAGTCCATCACTGTCAGGCACTGAGTGCAAGAATCATTAATATCAGGACTGCTAAAAACTCTGTTCACTAATGTTCTCCATTGGAAGGGTGCCATTATTGATCAAGCAGAATGTATTTGTCAGTGTGGGAATTAAAAAGTAAATCAAAAGACAAGGTAATGAGTCTGGAGTCGCTCTGGATGTTGGTGCTGTGCCAGCCCACGAACAGCATTTACTGTTAATGACCGCCCAGCTATCAGCGAGTACATTAATGATGTACTCAGTGACACGGCCACATTTGGAGCTCATTTGTGTTCCACTTATTCGTCTCTTCCCTTATTTATAGGGCAAATAATTTATCAAATAAATAATTACTATGTTGACTTTTTACTCATATTGTTATCTCTACATGCATGTTCCCTTTTATTTATTTAGATCCAAAGATGTGGGCCAAAGTGCTCCACTTTGTCATTTCAAAAGTGACAAAGGAAAGACTTCCTTTTTAGTTTGAAGTACATTTATTGACACATGCGCCATATGATAAAATGTTAAAAGTCTTTGGCGATTAGACCCCGATCCTGATATTGTATATCTTAAAGAGGATATGTAGCCGTGAGCATATGGAAACCCCCCCAGGGTCTAGAGACTGGTGGTGATGTTGAAGATCTGAATTTGATGAGGAGATGGGATGAAGAGGAGGTGTGATGAGGTCTTTGGATCAGCTCTCCTGGCACTGGATGTGATGAAAGGAGGTGATGGTGAGGAGGCCGCAGCATGAACACCTAAAATCACAGCTGACTGCAGGAGAGAAGAGAACCATTTTAAAGTGCGACTGCAGCACGATGATTGGCTGCTGGAGAATGAGGTGAAATGTAAATGGTTAAAGAGAACGACCGTGATGAGCTGATTATATGCAGCTGCGGAGTGAATGAATAGATATACCCAGTCTTCCTGAAAGAACTTGCGCTGAGTTTCATTTACAGAACAGTGCTGCAGATTGAAATACTAGTTGTAGTCCCTTGATGTTAAAAGTAAAAATCACAACAAGTCAAATCAAAAGCTGAGAGTCTCACAGGCTGAGGAAAGAAGCTGTTCAGGTAAAAGACAAGCTGGTAACTTTGCTTTTCTACAATCTCCTCTTTTTTCTCATGTTTTAGAGTCTAAGTGACTTTTGGGGACAAACATTTTGATAGCTGACAGCTGCTAAACGGGCTGTAAAGTAAACCTTCGAGCAATTCCACACCGTCAATGTACAATCACTACAAGTGCATGTATTTGCCCCCGAGAAGTGTAAAGAGCTCTCACTCGATACTGGACTGAACATTGTGGTCCCCATTAGTTACTTGCACACAAAAACACATTTAAAAAGGTGTTTCCAAAACACAAGTGGAACCAAAGTAAGGCATGTCTCTCTCTCCCCCTTCCTGTCTACTCAGCTATACTCAAGCAATATTACGCCAACTATTATAAATGAAAAACAAACACATGGGAAACTGGGTTCTAAGTTGAATATACCAAATGAGCCTGTAATACTCTTTGTGCTTTTGTTACGTGGTCAGACAAGACTCAAAATGAATGTTAATGGGAGGTGTGTGGCGCAGTGGGCTAGTGCGTTGGTGTTCGGATCAGGGGGGCACAGGTTCAAACCCCACTGCAGTCAGCATGTTGTTGTGTCCCTGGGCAAGACACTTCACCCCAAATTGCTCCTGTGGGGATTGCCCACAGTATTGAGTATGGAAGTCGCTTTGGATAAAAGCGTCTAACATGTAATGTAAAAATTTTGCTGCATGGATTGATTGATAAGTTTATTAACAGCTTGTATATTGGGTACAGTGCATGGTGTCATGTTTGCCGGATAATAACTTTTGCTATAGCAACTCAATAAGGTGATAATATGTCCATATTAGTGCAGTGATGTTATCTTCAAAGTGTGGGAGAAAACACATTTGGCACTTTGTTATTATTATTTTGTGGACAGTAATATATTGTGCAGCTCCCCAGACAGAATACTGCTTCTAAGAATGTTCCGGTTAAAAAAAGAAAAGAAGAAATGTCATGGTAAAGGCGAAAGAAGCATGACGCAAACACTATTATAAATCTCCTTGATATGTAAAACCAATTTGAACAGGCTGCCTCAGATCACCAGATCAACACCAGATCACCAGGCCTTTGCACAATCCTAAGAGTCCACTTTCAAACACTTTTTTTAAACAGCATAGCTCTTCCATTTTCAAATGCAGATATTGTGCACATATTTTAATTTGTCATGTTATTTTTGTATTACTTTTCGTTGTAAAAATGGATATCTTTTGCAATAGTTTTAATGATATTTATATATTTGCTTTTACTTTACATTTTTATTTATCTTACTATATTTAAATATGTACCATTATATACCAAGGCAAATTCATTTCCAAAAACATCAAACTACAGATCATTTATTGAGTAGGAATCTGATTCAGTTATCCATTTAAAACTGATGAACAGCCAAACCTTCACATTGGCCCATCAAATCGTGATTTTCGGTGATATTAATGTTTGTGTCCAACAGACCAAGTTCTCCTACCTGCACATGAAGTACCTGTTCTTCTCGTGGCTGGCAGTGTTTGTGGGGAGCTGGATCGTGTATGTGGAGTACTCGTCCTACACAGAGCTGTGTCGAGGGCACGACTGCAAAAACTCAATAGTGAGCATTTTATTTCTCATTTAATGTGCATCGACCTCACCTATCCAGGCCTCGTCCTACATGTGTCCTATAATCTTCTCTCCTGATATTGTTCTATTTCCAGTTTACCAATATTTCCATTGTATTTTCAGTGTGACAGATACAGGAAGGGAGTCATTGACGGCTCGGCCTGCAGCAGTCTGTGTGACAAAGACACGCTCTACCTGGGGAAGTGCTTCACCATGAAGCCCAAAAGCCAGGTCCGTTTTTTATATTTCAATAAATCAAACACTCCTCTACAGACTGCTTGTTGTTCAAGGGATTGTTTGGATATTTGAAGTGCGGTTGTTCTGTCGGATGAATGTGCATCGGTAGGTTCTCGTTCTTCTCCCATATGAAATGTCTGTATTCTCACTGTAATGCAATATTATGAAATATAAAGACTTTGGCCTCACTCCCTCTTCCTCGTCTTGAAGTTGTCATGCATTAGAACCCTGCTGTTGACTGTGCCCTGCTTCAACAAATTGGTGTTCAAGTTTGCTTATAGTGTAAAACGTTTTAAAATGTGCTAAATGTTAATAACGATTAAAATACAGCATGAACAATTAGGGCTGTCACAAAGCCCGACATCACAATCTATAGGAAATACACTGACTAGCACCTCATACGACCTTCAAACAATGAGTATATTCATTTGACCTGACACATTTCTTTAAGGTGTACTCTGGGACCTGGGGAGACCTGGAGGGAGTCATTAAGTGCCAGATGGAGGAGGCTCCTCATTATGATTTGGGAAATGCGATGCAGCACAGGAAGGAGTCTGCGGCCTTCAACCAGCCCACCAAGGGGACATCTGTGGAGAGGTTCAGAGAGATGATCCTCAACCACCTAAAGGTCAGGAAGCCTCCATCTAACAAAAATACAATCCAACATGGAGTGTGATTAAAAATTGTTTTAAAACGTTTATTTCTTGTCAGTCTAAAGTGGGGGATCAGGCCAACCTTGCAGACCTGGCAACACAAGTCCTGTCCATAACAGACGCCAACAAAGACGGTCACATCTCGCTGCCTGAGGCCCGCTCCACCTGGGCTCTGCTGCAGCTCAACGAGTTCCTGTTAGCGCTGGTCCTGCAGGACAGAGAGCACACGCCCAAGCTGCTGGGCTTCTGTGGAGACCTGTATGTGATGGAGAAGGTCCCGTACTCGCCCCTGTACGGGATCAGTCTGCCCTGGGTCATGGAGGTGTGGATCCCGGCCGGTGTGCGCCGCAGCATGGACCAATGGTTCACCCCCTCCTGGCCTCACAGGGCAAAGATCTCCATCGGACTGCTGGAGCTGGTGGAGGACGTCTTCCACGGAACGTTCGGCAGCTTCCTCATGTGCGACGTGAGCGCCACCAGGTTCGGATACAATGAGCGTCATGACCTGAAGGTGATGGACGCAAGGTACATTGTTCCTGAAGCCATCTTCCAAGAAAACATTAGACAGCAACGATGCGATGTGGATGAGGATTGTCTCTACGGGGCAGACTGCCTCACTTCCTGTGACCTCACCAAGCACCGCTGCACCCCCGAGGTCACCAGGCCCAATTTAGCCAAAGCCTGCGAGGCCCTGAAGGACTACACTCTGAGGGGGGCCCCGGCTGATGTGAGGGAGGAGCTGGAGAAGCAGCTGTACGCCTGCATCGCTCTGAAGGGTTCCTCAGAACAGATGGAGATTGAGCACTCACTAATTCTGAACAATCTCAAGACTTTGCTTTGGAAGAAAATCTCTCATACGAAAGACTCCTAGGCGCTGAGAGGCACGACAACCATACCTAAATGTTTTTAAATATTGTACAATTTTTACGTACGTTTAGGATTCACCTTATATCCCTTTGACATGTGTAACTGATGGAAAACCCTGACGCTGTCAGGCATGGTGACTTTATTAAATCAAACTAGTAATCTTTGTCAGTACTGGAGCAACATTTGCACATTTTTGAAACCGGGAAATCAATACATTTGACAAATGCAACACCTGGATAGTGAGATCTTGCTTAACCTCTTTGCAGTGCAGTCTTTCAGTTTGAGAGCACTTTAAACTGGTATTCCACTTGTCTTTGCACGAGCTTACCCAAGTTCTAAAAGTTATGTCAGTTGCAGAAACTATTTTATTGACAATCATTAAACTATGGATGCCTAAAGGAGACTACATTAAAATCTACAATTTTATTCCAACCCAGATTTAAGAGAAAAGTTATGAGATGAAATGTTCAAAGTGGTATCCTACTATATATACACACAGTACGTATAAGATCTGAAAAGACTGTCACCAAATGTTCGATTCAGGCAAGTAACACTTGTTAAAATGATATTCACTCAACCGGTTGGTTGGAATTGGATGCCGAGTTTAGTTGCACTCATTTATGAATCCCTTTATGTGATTTTATAGCAAGCTAATCAGTCTATAAACCATAGTGTTGGTTAAACAACACTACTGTAAAGATTTCCCTTTAAAGGGCATCAAGAAGCTGCTGTAGTTTACAGAAAGGACACCAGAGGGTTGGATTCTTTTTCAATAGATTTATTAGACAAATCTTGATGTGTGGAACGGAGCAGACTCCTCATTCTGGATCCTCCTGTGCCTGAGCGCGGAGGAAGCTGGCCTTCTTCTGGGCGACACGGTCTTTCCTCTGGGCCAGGGAGAGCTTGGCACGGTTCCACCTGTCATAACAGAGGCACCATTAGCATTTACTAAGTGTTTTCCAGGTGTCTTAAACGTTTCAAATAGCCAACACTTGGCACATGTGAATATTTCATCCACATTTTAACAGTGTTTCTCCAAATGTCAGCATTTCTCACCTCTTCTTCTTGACATCCTTGACAGGCTTCTTTTCGTGGACTGGGTTTTCACGAATGGCAGCTTGAGCCTTTTTGTACATTTCCTCGATCTGAAAGACATTTCTAGTCAAATGCTTGTCCAAGTGTTTACTGCACAGAATTCAATCTTTACACATACTAGCTTTCTTAAACCTTTCACACAAATTCTGTACACTAATATTTAAGCTCAATGTATATGGAAATATGTTTTTTGCAAATGTCTGTTTATTGAATAATAAGACCTGTATTGTGATTGGTGGATTTATACACCAACAAGTCCACAACTTTTTAATGTGATGATATCTTTCGCTGTCATTCTGATCCCGTTTATCAGAATGTATATTCTATTGCAAAATGTAGGAAGAAGCCACTCCTCAGTAAGAGGTTCAATGGCTGAAGTGAAAGCTAGTTTAAATGTCCAAAATGTATGAAATAAAGAGTGGCATTGACCGTACTAAATTCATAAGGGTTTGTTGCTTATTTTGCCGAGTCAAAGGCTGAAATTCCTGCCATGACTCAGATCTTTCTTATGAGGAATTACTAATGATAAATAGCTCTTCAACCATGAGGTAATAAGTTCACACATCACATTTCTCCCAACTCAATAGCACCCCCTACCTGCTGAATAAGTACATTGTGGACAGGCAGTTTAATAACAGTGCATGAAAAGGACTTACCGCATCAGGGGCGACTCCGTTCTTGATGAAGCGGGAGAACTGCTTTTTGTAGGCGTCCTCGTCTTCCTCCATCAGGTAGCTCATGTACTCGGACACGTTGACTCCCATGATGTGCTTGCGGTGAACCTCTGCGTTGAACTCCTTGCTCTCTGTGTCGTAACCAGGGAAGCGCTTGGTGCTGGAGAGAAAAACAAAACAGTTCAAGCACAGCTAAATCGACTTAAGGTTTGCAAGAAAAATTACAAGACATCCAATTAGAACCTCCGGACTTAATATCATGACATAAGTCAAGGCACAATGAACGCATCACTGCTTTATGGCTCGTATCGGTCATCATTTCTTACTTGTGTATCATCAAAACTAAGTGTAAGGTCAAAACACTTCAATATCACAATGTTGTATTATACCGTATCGTTTTTCAAAAACAGCAAACAGTGGAAAAGTAGTGCCGTTTGGTGTTATTGTAACGGAACAACGCATTGCGCCGTAAACAATGTAACATGTTAGTATGGCCGGACATTAAAACTCCATCTAAATGTGTATTCTGACGTATCACACCCTTTATTATAACGGGCTGTCAAACTGCCATTTTCAACTTATGAATGCAAACAAACAGCATCGACCGCATTTAAACTAGTCTGCGAGTGTAAACCGAAAGCCCACAAGCTGATCCAGAGGCATACTATAGTCTGTACAGATGGCCTGAAACAGTGTTCAAACAGGAAACTGACCTTCCTATATAGACATTTTAACTGCTATTCAGTTTACTGTAACACCTGAGAGAAATCATAGAGTATTTTCTCTCTTTAGATTTACACTTTTAATGTCTTGGCAGAACCGTCAGTATCAGAATGTCAACATGACATTTCATTGTAAACTGTCCAATAGGTTACAACAGATTTTGCAAACATAAGTGAAGTGTTTTTAAAATCTCAGATAAAGTCTTGCATTTGCCTTTGCTAGAAGAACTGACAGGATGTGTGGCCTGATGGAGCTGAAGGCCTCTACACAACAAGTCACTTTTAATTTAAACATTTCATCCAGTCATTCAACTGCACCCCAGATCAAACATTCACTGCGCAAATACTTTCCATTGTCAACGTCTTCACTATCCCCATCCCTAAGAGCGATGCCTGTTCTCCTAGTCTTCTGAAATCACTAGTTTTGACCCCATTGCTGTGTCTGATTGGGGAATTCAAGCTCATCTGACTTTTTTTTAATAAATACATTACATGTGAGTTTAAGCAGTTCGTAGGCAGGGGGAAACCAACCATAGTGAAAAAGCAGTCTGAAAACATGTCAGAATTATATTAAATAATCTATAAAGCCAGCATATCTCCATCAAATAAAACAAATCTTATTCAGGAACAAAACCTCATTCCACATTGCCAAGCAAAACAATCATGTGACAGGAAGTTACCTGTGGGGGATGGACAGACCTCCATCCACGGCCCCCTTCACGGCACCGAACACCTTGTTGCCTGTAGTGGTTCTTGCGAGCCCAGCGTCCAGGTAGCAGGTGAACGCGCTTGGCTGACCATCGATGCTCTCCACGTTGAACTCATCGCCTGTCACCTCCACCTGGCCTTCATACACCTTATCCAGGCCAAACTTGTTCAGAAGCTGAGGACAGAAATCAGTCAAGATAAACATCTGGTTCAGCAGACAACTTCTATTTATGTACTAATCAAAACACATCTTCTCTTCCTGGTGCCAATTATTAGATGTAATAGAGTGGAGGAATAAGTTCTTGAAACTAAAATGTGTTTTTGGTTCGAAGCCAGGAATAAGGTCTGTGGTTAAGACAAGCTGAAGTGAATGTCAGTAAATACACCACAGGTGAATGTGGCTTCCATGAGTCATACAATGGTGGCTAACAACAAGTAACTGAATAGACTACTAAAGGTCCTCACAGCAACACGAGACAGCTTGGTTTAGAGGATGTGCAGCCATGCGTCTGTGATGTGGTTTGTTCATAGTCCAACATTAGCTTTCTTGGCGATTTCATGAACACTACAATAAATCACAAAGTAATGTTAATATTGTGATGCCAACTTCCGGGTTGGCCTACAAAAATACATCATCACTGCACCACTATGACTGAACTCCCTCTAAGAGCTCATCTGGCTAAGTCTCCCTACAACATTTGGAGGTGACTATGATGCAGAGAACCAGCATGTATAACATGTTAATACTTACTCGGCGGGCCAGCAGCAGACCAGTGCAGTAGGATGCTGCGTAGTTTGTCAGACCAACAGCAATGCCGTATTTTGGGAGCTCGTGTGAGTAGGCAGCACAGACGATCATGTCACCCTCAATCTTTGCATAGGCGATCTGCAACACAATCACAAGTAAACATGAATTTAGGGCACACTTGAACATGTGGATTGCAAAGGTCTTGACCATTGTTCTACACAACACAGGGGATGTTCTATATAACCTTTGTTGGGTGATCTCTTCCCCAGAACTGGCAATGAACAATATTTGAAAACTATTTTACACCACTGATGATCGTATGGTGCAAGTATAACTTTTCAAAGAGAACTGAATTGTTAACCCTTCACAGACATTGGAACATTAACAAAAAACATGATCTCTTGAGCTCTGTTAAAAGAAATGTCCACACAATGCTTGAGTCCTAAAATTGTAATAGAAACCACACTAGTCTCACTACAGGTTGATGATATCCTTTTGTAAACACAACGGAGTAGAAAACTGATAGCCATGTTTATAAATCTTGCATTAAGTTAACACATAACTTTCAGGTTATCCATAGAACTTAGATTAGGCCATACTATAATTGTAACTCATGTAATGTTGCAGCATTCAAACAGCATTTTATAAAAAGCCTTATTGATTCGACAATGCATGTTGCTCTCAAGTTTAAGTGAAAAGCTATTAGCATGGTCTTTCATAGAACTATAGGTATTGGAGTCAATACAAGCATGTACCCATCTACAAACATAGCCCTGTTGCTTTGAAATACAAACTGGGTGATCTTAGCACGTGCTCACCTGGCAGCAGATGTCCCTGTTAGAGAAACGGACAATCAACCTGTACTTGGGGGTGTTGTACTTGTTCTTATCTTGTACAACCAGGCGCTTGCGGGCAAAGAAGTCGGTCTTTCCCTCTGGAAGTAAAACATACACATTAGCATACAATACCCAACATTAGTAGGAGGAAATGTAACTGTCATATGGGGTCTTACCTCTCCTCCTCCTGAATTTGACCTGGTACCTCTTGAAGTAGGACTTGTTCTTTACCACTTTTACAAAACCCTGCAAGAAGACATGCATTGATTTAGTATCAGGGACTAACCAAGCAGTCACAACAGGTAACTTTACGTCAGTTTAGTGCATTACTTTGTCCACAGTAGCTGGCTGTCACTGTCATTTGGGTTCCGTTAGACCTGGCTAACATTAGCTAGCTTGGCCAATGAAAGTGAACGAGCGGTTAGCACAAACAGCATTGTTCGCGATAAGCAAAGGGAAAATAGTTAGCTATATAAAATGGAAATACAGGGGGTTTAAACTTAAGGGTCTAACTGGTCACAACATTGGGAAAATAAGACAAGTAAAATACAGGGAAAAGGAAGCAGTGGGCTTGTGAGGGAAGCCATTAGGCCACGTTTAAGCAGACCCGGGTGAGCGTTAGCATGACTTAATCTATCTTCATCTGAACACCAGAAGCATGTTTCAAAATATCTGACACCACACAGCACATCATGTATGTCTTAGGTATGCATGAAGACACATATTGGGACGAATTACAAACCATTTTTGCAGTATTTTTGTCTCCTTATGAAGGAGCCCGGAGCCAGAGACTGGGGCTTGACTCCACTGCACTGGAAAAAGGAAGACGAGCGTGCGCATGCTCCGTAAATAGCGTGTCACAGGATGAGTCGTAGACACGCCATGCTGCACAGGATTTACAACTCTGCCCCTAGCGAGCTGGAGCGGTCCTTACACTAATGAAAGCAGTCAACAGCCACAGTCAACAGTTACTCTGATTCGCATTATGGTAGCTGTAAGGTGAGTGATCTGCACAAAAATACTCTTAACTCGCTGAAATCTTGACTGATTTACAATCGGTTTGGTTTATTATAAACATTATTAGCATGGCTATGATACAAGATGCTTGGACATGTTGAAATTGCAGCTTTTCTTTGTGTATGTGGTTGTATTTATTAGCTGGCTAATAACAAGAGGCTGTGAGTGAGACCTAGTATTACAAAGTTGACCCAGCAACTTTACACCAGTGGGAGAGGCAGAATTGCTCTTTCTTTCCAACATAACTTAAGTTACACATGATTTCTTCCAAGTGGTTTGGCTTGTTAAAAACATCTTGCATTATGATATAGGAATTTGCTGGCTTTGTGTTTACAGAAGTACCTGACTATGCCGGACTTTTGTGCAGCCTACGGATGCTCCAATCGCCGCTGTCTGCAAACAAGAACCCGTGGGATCACCTTTCACCTGTAAGATATGACAATATTATGACTAAAATTAAGATAATCGTTAATTACTTAGTGGATGTATGTACATTACAAGTCCTGCTACACAGGATCAGTGGGGCTATGTGAGATAATAGTATTGCAAGATTGTTGTTGACCCAGCCTCTTTAGAATATGTTGCTACCATTTCTTTACACAATTATTTAATGTTTCTTTTGGACACCATTTTTATTACTCTTAGTGTGGTTGTCTTATTCTTAAAGTATACATACATACATACATACATACATACATACATACATACATACATACCAAAAATATGATAATTTCGGTGTGTATTTTTGTCCTTACCCTTAATGTTAAAGGAAAGAAGGGAGGAAAATGTTGACAATAATTTATATATCTGGCTACCTTTCTCATGTTTTTAAGGTTTCCCAAAACCGAAGAGAGGAGGAGGCAGTGGGAACTCGCCCTAAGAAGGGACGGTTTTGTTTCCTGTGACAGGACACTGTTCTGCAGTGAGCACTTCAGGAGTGAGGAATTTGACCGGACAGGGCAGACTGATTGATTGTTGGTGTGCCATGTGTCACCGTGTGTCTTATTGGTTTTGTGTTATACTGTATTTTATTGTGTGCAGCTGGTCCTTATCTCCAAGACACATTTAAAACAAATAACCTTGAACCTTGAAGCCCCATCTCTCCCCACCTGCTCCTGCTTCCTACATCCCCTCCACACCACACCAAGTTGTTCTTCTTAATAATAATAATAATACATTTATTTTGGGGGGCCGCCTTTCATAACACCCAAGGACACCTTACAGGGGCATAGGGGCAATATAGGGAACAATTTAAACAGTGGATTTTGTGATATATCAGCCGGGGTGAGACAAGACAAACCACAAATGGACTACAGAAGGACACAAAAGGACACATGGTACAGTTTACATTATTCTTGGTCTTTTTTCAATAACATATTTCAAAGGTTCTGGATTTGTTTACAAATCTAGAAACTAAATACAAAACTAGGATGATATGAAGATCTCATGTCAAAAATAATTGTGATAAATTAGACAGAACTGGCCTATCTGTGAGCACATTTTATGTTGGTTTGGTTCTTCTGATAAAGGTGTGAATATCTAAATAATATACCAACATATGCTATTGTCATTAGTTGTGTCCCTGTTCTTCAAGCTAAGGCATTGCTAAATTAACAACTCTTGGCTTACAGAGTGGTAACATGAGACCGATTTTTATATATAAAATATAAATGTATTTTAATTTTATAATTTATTTTAAATATTAACAATATAATAAAATAAATGGAAATATATACACCGGCAACTATGTAATATAAATACCTTGTGTGTGTGTGTGTGTGTGTGTGTGTGTGTGTGTGTGTGTGTGTGTGTGTGTGTGTGTGTGTGTGTGTGTGTGTGTGTGTGTGTGTGTGTGTGTGTGTGTGTGTATAGCTATTGCTTTATCTGATTAATGTTATTTTCATATGAAAGTCCATGATTATAAGTATGCAGTATCATAACTACATATTTGATGTTTATAAAAAACCAAACCGTTTGAAAATTGGTTGAAAATTGAGCAAGCTATGGTTATTTAAATAGTAAACCATAATGTTATGAATGAGAGAACTGCCTGTGGCAAGATGGCGGCCAAGTGGCAACGTCGGTCTCCATTGGCCAGCAGCGCGGGTGAGTCATCTAGTGTTTATATATATCTATGGTGATAACTGCCCGTGACTAAGGTGACGCCATCGAAGACAGAGAAAATGTTTACTTTTTGAGAACTAGAAGTGTGCTGAGGTAATTTGACAAATTGTACACATACCCATTTTTAAGCAGTAATACAGCTGCCAAACAAATGTATTGAATAACAAGTCAAAGACAGCCTTCTCAAATTGTAGTTCAGAAGAGATGTAAAGTGTCATGACACCTAAGGCCATATACGTTGACCCAATCACACATGTGTACACATAGGCAGAGACTGCCATGCCATATGCTCCCACCTGCTCGGGAGGGCCAAGCAATCTTGAGCAATTGAGGGTTTGCCCAAGGACACTTCAGCATGTTGATTAGGAGGGCTGGTAATCGAACGCTCAGAATCAGAATCAGAATCAAAATACCTTTATTAGTCCCACAGAGGGGAAACGTACATTGTTACAGCAGAAAAAAGCCAAAGACAGCTTAATGTTACCTGAGTAGCATGCATAAAATATATATATTAAAGATACAAAAAAAAGAAAAGAAAACTGATTGATGACCACTTTACCTCCTGAGCAACAGCTGCCCCAAAAAGCCACACTCAAGTAAGTACTTGTACTACATTGTAGTACATTGGTAAATGTCGCCTAGTTACATTCCAACATTGCTGGTCAAGGTCTCGCATTTTAGTCACATTACCATGTTTAAATTATTATTTTTTTTTTTCTGTTTGAAATAATATGGGCAGAATTGCTGGGGAGTTTTCAATGCCATTCAACACTTCCACCTTTTACATTATGTTATTGGGTTTTTGAATTTTTAGTAAGTAATAGAGGTGTTGTTTTTGCATTGTTCGGTTTTCATGGGAACTTGTTGGACATGTTACAGTTAAACATAAGTATAAATTAAAGATATTAATTATGGCAACATTTCGTTTGGATGTTTCAGTTTCAGGGTCCTGCACTTGAGCAAGTTGGCTCACACTGGCATGGCTTATATTAGTCTTCATTAATATAATTTGAAACGATAAGTAACACTGTTCTTAAAAACTATGAGAAACGAATACAGCTCATTCCTGCGATTGTTACAAAAATACAATAATACTTTGAAACAATCCTGGCTGTTGATCAACACATTTTTCTACTAATAGTCAAATTCATGCAGAGATGATAAAGCGATGGCTAGACTACTGTAATGGTTAGGCTAAAACTCTAGTGGCTGACAATGTATAATGTCTAACATTAATAGTATACATCTGTATCTCATCTCTCATTGAGTGATTTTTCATTCACCTCCTATATCCTTGTTTCATTTTTCTTGATTTCTTACAAAAAAAGCTTGTATCACTGACTCTTTGAAATGAACTCGCCTTCTTAGCAGGCATTTCACTCACCTGTGTTGATGATGAATACAATGAGGTAGGATGCAAGATATCTTTCAGATCAGCCCATATATTTGAAAAGTCCAAATCAAATTCCTATCAGAATTAAATACACCAATCATACCTGAGTTGCAGATTAAATCAGCAACATTGATGCACATTGTTGCTACATTTTGCAAATGAAAACAGATATAATATTTGTGTTGATAGTGCAGCAGATAGTTATATTGGTGATATTCAAAGATTGTATTCACGTCTACTGTATGTCTGCTGTTGTAACCATCCTAAATCATGTTAGGCAGAGGTGGGAGAAGTACTCAGATATTGTACTATAATGTAGGAATATTCTGTTCTGCAATTAAAATGTTACTCAAGTAAAAGTACAAAGGTATGAGCATCAACATATACTTAAAGTAGGAAAAGCAAAAGTACGTATTATGCAAATTAGTCAATTTCAGAATATATATATATATATGATGTTTTTTATAATGATTGATCATGAAAGTGTTCTCAAAGCTGGTGAAGGTGCAGCTAGTTTGAATGACTTTGTATACTGCAGGGTAGCTGGTGGATTTACTCCAGGTGGAACTAAAGTCTGATTTAACACTTGATTAGATTTCACATTACATTACATTTCATTTAGCTGACACTTTTATCCAAAGCGACTTATAATTACCAATTACAGGGACATTCTCCCTGGAGTAACTGGGCTAAGTGCCTTACTCAAAGGCACACTAGTGGTGGTGTTCCAGGTGGGATTTGAACTCACAACCTTCCTATCTTCAGCCCACCTCACTATCCATTAGACCACCACTACCCTTTCAATTTCAATTTGTCATGATCCATAAGAGCATTGGTTATCTTAAAAAGGAGTTTTATCATTAAAACATTTGTTAAGTTTTAGAGACACACTCTAAGGTGTAATGTCAATATAACGCAATTGAAGTGTAAACTGGGCTAAATAAAGTGACTTTGTAGTCTGATTACATCATCAAGGTTGCATATAATCTGTTACTACCCCGCCCTTACCTGATGGAATTAAAGGTGTATATAGCATGATGTATCTGGGCATATGGGTGTGACTGCAAGCAAAAATCATCAAAATTCTTCTTCTCGCCTACAAAGCCCTTAATGGGCAGACGCCATCTTACCTTAAAGAACTCATTATACCCTACTGTCCTACTAGGGCATTGCGTTCCAAGAATGCAGGGTTGTTGGTTGTTCCTAGAGTCTCTAAAAGTACAATGGGAGCCAGAGCCTTTTCTTATCAAGCTCCACATTTGTGGAATCAGCTTCCAGTTTGTGTTCGGGCGGCAGACACCCTATCCGTTTTTAAGAGTGCGCTTAAGACCTTCCTTTTTGATAAAGCTTATAGTTAGGGCTGATTAGATTCAGCCCCTAGTTTTGCTGATATAGGCTTAGTTTGTCGGGGGACATCTTACTTCTTCCTTCTCTCTGTCTATACCTGTGTACTCTCATGTTCCGATTAACCCAGCTTCCCCAAATGTCTTTCTTTTTGGTGTCTATATACGCTGGGATCCGGAGTCATGGATGATCCTGCGCTCCTCTGTCCTGGATCGTGAGCCCTGGATCTTGAGTCGTGGCTGTGGTCCTGGATCATAGGTCCTGGATGGATATCCTCGTGGATTCATCTTCCTATTATACACACATGCATTTCCAAACATTTGGACTACCTATGTTGCAAATGTATTATCTTTTCAATTTACACACGGCATCTATTGCACGTCTGTCCGTCCTGGGAGAGGGATCCCTCCTCTGTTGCTCTCCCTGAGGTTTCTCCCATTTTCCCTTTAAACTGTGGGTTTTCTCCAGAAGTGTTTCCTTGTACGATGTGAGGGTCTAAGGACAGAGGGTGTCGTATTGTCATACTGATATTTTGTACAAACTGTAAAGTCCACTGAGACAAATGTAACATTTGTGATATTGGGCTATATAAATAAACATTGATTGATTGATTGATTGATCAAGGTGAAATAAATCCTGAAAAAGTAACTTGTCCTTTTACAGTTAACATTTATCTGCATTCATGTTCAGTCCATTTGATTCCTTTTAGGTGCTTAGTTTACGCCTTGCAGGCTGAGATGTGCTTATTGTGACACTGCGACAGTCACATACAGTGGCCATGGTGTTGCCATGTCTCCCACCACGTCAGTTGCTTTTCAGCTACCTCTATGAACAGAGGAGTGTCCAACAAGCGACAAAAGATATGCGTCACTGCTCCTTATGTGAAACCTGAAGAGTAGGTTTTAGGACTGTGTGGTATGTGAGTGAAGGCAGTCTGCTCCGTCACATTTTCATCAGAACACCTTTGCCTCAATGTTTACCTCATCATGAGTTTCTGTTGATATCTCTCGCTCAGTGAAAGTCAGCTGTGTGAACCTACCAAACCGAGCAAAGCAGCTCTAAGCCAGTTTATAGTTTTATTAAAGGCCTGGATACTTCAAGTTTTAGTTTGACCTTTATTTTTGAAAGAGCTAACCACAGAGTAAAGGTGGAGCTTTTCTAGATAGATTAATGGTATTTTCGGATTCTACGAGCACTGAGACCACGGTGTTCAGACTTCCAGAA